TCAATTTAATCACTTATAAAGTGATTGGCTATACATTAGGGGAAAAGAAGAAATAATACAGACTACATTCTTGATGCACACACACAAACACACAGAAAATGTAAAAAATAATAATCAAAATCAGGGACAAAACTACAACAACCCTGAAATTTGTAATCTTTTTCCCACAAATGTCTAAGATCAAAGAAATAATCAAAATTATAATTGCAGAGTATTTAGAAATTATTATAATTAAAACACTAAATATTAGAAATAAAAAGCAAAGAAAAATACATAGGCTTGCATATCTATATAACTAGCAGGAAAGAGTAAAAGTAAAAGGAATTTAGCTACTCAAGACCAAAAGTTAGAAAATAACAAAATAAACCTAAAAAAGGAAGAAAATAATAAAGATAAAAGTGAACTTAATTAGGAAACAGAAAGTGGGTAAATAGATTGAAAATAAGCAACTAAGGGAAGAATAGTAACTATAACTTGCTAACAAAACTAGTCACCAAAAGGAGAAAACACAATATTAAAATTTGAAAATGAAAAATAACCAAAAACAGAGGAACTTAAAACTACCCCAAAAAAGTATGTTGCACTCTACAAATAAATTGGAAAATTTTAGTGATATTGAGCATTGTATTGCAAAACAGAATTCCCAACATTGACCCCAGTCAGATATGGCATAATTACACATTCACTTCCTAGAAGCAATCACAAGGAATTGACACCACTTACCTCTGAGGGAAAGAAACGTGCAGAGGAAGGAGAGAAGTTCCTTTTTCATTTCATTCCTTTCTTTCTAAACTGCCTGAATACCCTTATTTGATTTTTTTTTTAAAATATGAGCTTAATGGGAAATTAGATTATATATTTATTTGTAGTAAGGCAAATGGAAAAAAAAAAATAAAGGCTCAATCATGTGTAGAACACAAAGGCTGATGATGAAGGAGTCAAGCCAGAGTGATGGTGGGTGGAGATTGGAAGAAACAGACCCAGAGACCTTGTGTTGGGCAACATCTGTTTCTACACCTGCCTGGGTACCCCACAGATCATCATTCATAGTTCTAAAGTATACCATATAAAATCTGCAGTTTCTTTATAAAATCTGGGTTTTGCTCATAGCTTTCCCCAACAGATAAGAATGTTTTCATTTAATTTCATTTAAAATTTATTACTTCATGAAAGTGAGATTTGTTTTTCGATATTTACTTAGATTTATTTTGGAACAAAATATCCAGCTATTTAACAAAATTGAGGATTCAAACTATTTGCTTTGGTGCTATTTTTGGACATGCATATTACACCAACAGAATAGTTGCTGATGCAAACCTGTCTCTTTTTTCTAGACAAGGAGATTAGAAAGAGCAGGTTTCTCCTTTAGAAAGAAGCCAGTAAGTTGGAATACATTTTGTTTTGTTTCTTGTATTTGAAAGTGCAGTTTAAACAAGCCAAATAGATACCATATGGCTTTCAGTAATTTGACATTGAAGAACAATGCATGATTTGTATTCTATTTCTAGCTACTGCACAGTGAGTGTGCTGCAATACCATGGGTTTTAATCCCTCTCTGCCTTTGCCCTTGCTGTCTCTTTGGGGCAGGACATTTATTTATTCACTAATTCATCTCCTTTCCTTTTTATCCAGTGAACTACAAAACAGATGGGAGCTAAATAAGTAAATAAATAAATAAGTTCAAACTAAAATTTCTCCTTTTTAGTGACCTCACTGAAGCTGCATCATTGTCTAGGGTAAATACCTAAGGTTCGTCGTCTGACGAACCAAGAAGATTAAAAACACGAACACACAGTGGGAGGGACTTTAGGAGGGGAGGTTTAATAGCTAAAAGAAAGAGAAACGAGAACAGCTCTCTCCCATGTCAGAGAGAGGGGCTCCCAAAAGCAACAGCCAACCAGCCTGTGGCATATTGCATCAGATTTTATAGGCAGGCTTGGTGAGGCGGTGTCTGATTTACTAGGGCCCACAGATTGGTTGGACCAGGTGTGACGTTTACATAGCACACAGGGAAGGCTGACCACCCCACTCTAATCTTATTATGCAAATGTGCTTTCCACTAGGCTGGTGCCATCTTGCCTGTTCCTTACTGTACACGTGGCTGGTAAAAGAAGGGAACATGCAGCCGCCATTTTGAACATACTTAGTCCCAGGTAGTCATTTCCTATTGGCACAGCTCCTGGCATTCACCTGTGCAAGCTTCCAGCTTGCTTTCTACGTCTGCAGCTTGATTTTACAGGCTGCTCATTGTTAGAAAAGAAAATAATTTGGGGGCTGCTTTTCATTAGAAGGAAAACCTTACCAAGGACTCCTGTACCCTCACTATCTGCCTAATTTTTCTGAATTCCTGTATCATCACCACCTCTGTGAGTTCATATTGTTTTGTTCACATTTTGTATTGTGATAGTATATATAGCCCTGTGTTACCTACTAAACCCCAGGCTTCACAAGGTCAGGCCTGTCTTTCATTGTTTCAGAAATCTGTAACACCTGGCATGTTATAGATTATTTTTAAATGTTAAGAGAATTGCATTAAAAATTAAATACTTAAATATTTTTAGATCAAAGCCTCAAGGTGAATATCTTTGTTAAGGGAATAATGTTCTATTATGAGTGGTAATTAGATTTTCCCATTAAGTTTGATTGAAGGAAGCCAGTTTCACAACTATAGTAATGACTATACGATCACAGCTGAAAAAAGCCAGTTTCAGATACCACAGGTCACCGCATATTTTATCTAGCGCATGGATATATGTGATCACATTTGGGTTCCCAGTAAGTAATGAGAGAAACAGAACCATTTAATGTTGCAAAATAAAGAACCGTCCTACAGCCATGCTGATCTGTTTGCCTGTCCTGATCATTAAAGCAGCTTTCTTTGATCACCAATAGTTATAAGGAATTCCCTACAAGTACATAGTACTTAAAATAATATTTTAATAATCTACTTCCACATGAATTTTCAGTCCTCGTGGATAGCTAACAAAATGATCCCTTCTTCTCTAAAATTGCTTCGTGTGTTCATTTATCTTTTCAATCAGTAGTCGTTTATTAGGTGCATGTCAATTTAGTAGACATTATGCTAGAGACACATACACAGCATAGGCAAATGTTTCAAAAAGTGAAAATACTTTTTGCATTCATCTCATCCTCACTGCACTGCCTTGAACCCACACAAGAAATGTTGTTATCAGTGGCTTATCTGTGAAAGAAAAATCTGCAGTTTCCTGGGTTTTGCTCATAGCTTCCCCCAACAGATAAGAATGTAAGAATGTTTTATTTCATTTAGTTTCATTTTAAATGTATTACTTCATGAAAGTGAGATAAAATTTGCCTCATTATCATAAGAAATATGGAAACGAATACTGGACATTTTCTAAGCACATGCATGATACAGTGAACTCACTGCTTCCACTAGGTGTTTCTCAACGATAGAGGAATTAGTGAGGCTCGTCCATCAGTGCCTGCCATGGGGAGGATGAGGGGCAGGGCTCGGGCCTCACATTTTTAGGAGGTCTCATCCCATTTCACATACAGTCACATGCAGCCACAGCAGGAAGTTGAGAGGTTGAAAGACAATACCACTTGAGGCTGAGTGCGGTGGCTCACACCTGTAATCCTAGCACTTTGGGGGCCAAGGTGGGTGGATTGCCTGAGCTCAGGAGTTCGAGCCCAGCCTGGTTAACATGATGAAACCCCATCTCTACTAAAATACAGAAAAAAAAAAAAATAGCCAAGTGTGGTGTGGTGGGTGCCTGTATTCCCAGCTACTTGGAAGGCTGAGGCAGGAGAGTACTTGAACCCAGGAGGCGAAAGTTGCAGTGAGCCAAGATTGAGCCACTGCATTCCAGCCTGGGCAACAGAGTGAGAGATTCTACCTCAAAAAAAAAAAAAAAAAAAAAAAAAAGAAAGAAAGAAAGATAATACCACTTGAATACTTAAAAATAAACACTAAAAACATATCCAAATGTTTAACTCAGTTTGGGCACTTTTTCATTCTGTTTCTTCATTTTGGTCACTTCTTAATTTTGTTTAAGGCTCTCACTAAATTATTTGAATCATGATCCTGGCTGTATTCTTATTTTCTCATTTTTCTCAATGTTAGAGAATGGTAGAATTCCATGTTCTTCCTTCTTCCCAACTTGGTACCATAATAAATACACTCTTCCTCTCGCCAAATTCATGCCATTTATCAATTTTGCAAGTGTAACTACAAGAAGATTTCATTTTAATTTTATTCATTTTATTCTAGAAAGGAGACTGAAACTCTGGAGGGTTTATAAAAATATTTACAAAGCTATGAAATATGTGCTTAAGTAAGCTAATTTCACCAGTTCTTTTTATACTTTTCAAAATTTGAAGTGGAAAAATGTAATAACGTACTATATTCTCACAAAAAAAAATCCTATGAAAGGAAGAACTCAAAAATCTGTTCTCTAATCCTTTGCCCTGAGGTCACTGCTGTTCAGAGTTCTTTCCAAGTTTTTCTTAGACTTATTGTGAAACATGTACGTGCTTATCTTATAAAAATGGTATCAAGCACAGGTCTTGTCCCTCCTTGTCTGATACCTGGGGAGATTTGGGCAGGTGGAGAGACTGGCATTTGAGCACCTGATAAGGAAGTGGTTGGGGTTTGTGGCTCTGAGTTGGTTGATTTGCATTTGAAAGGTCTGCTAGCAGGAGAGTTGTTCACTTACTGTCTCTAAGAATTAGTGAACCCCGTGAGGCAGGAGCAAGGCCCTGGATGTCAAGACTTAAGAATACAGAAAATCAAAAGCACACAGTTAATACGCCCTCATACCTGCTTTTTTAATTTAAAGAAACACAGAGAATTTGCTTACATGTTTCAAGCTAACAAACATTTATTCGTGCGGCATAAATAATATATGAACAGACTTTTATGAGTAATATAACATCTGCAGCTCTTAGAAAATAAAACATAGTTAATTGGGAATGACATGAATTATGTAATCATTACTTTTATGTTTTGTTCTTTCTAGGGCATTCAAACTGTCACCTTCACATGAATGGCAATGAAAGTCTCATAAAGAAGCAGAAATACCCAGGAGGCATAAAGAGTCATCATGCTTCAAAAGTACATGTGTTAGGACTTCACGACCTCAGGAAAAGTAGACCCCATAACTCTTAAAAGCTCAACCTTGGAGAGGAGAAATATACTATTTGTTGACACAGCACTGAAACTTGTTGAAATGTCTTTGGAGCTTGAGATGTCGAGAGCCATCAAAATGTTCTCAAGAATTAAATTGAAAAATGTTTCTTCAAAATATCTTAGCCAACCAAATACAAACATTTTTGTCATTGTGACAAAAAACTGGCCAATTGCCCTTGCTAGTCTCAGCACAGCCCAAGAGGCGCATCCTTCATTAGCCAACTGGAAAACAGTGTGCAGTCTACGCTTCTGACCAGATGGGCGTCTCTCGTCACCATAACATCATGTAAACACTTTATTTATTATACTGACCATACTTTGTATTGCACTTGCATTGGTTATTTGTAAAGCTTTTCCTATTTCATCAATAGATTATCCTTAAATTTTAGCAACTGCATTTTAGTCACTCTGTATTTTTAATAGTGCCTACCTAAGTGCCATAAATATTAATAAGCATTTTTTCTGAATCAATAATCACCCCCCAAAAATGTATAGCCATAGTTGTAAATACTGTACAATCCAAAGAAAAGTGGAAATTAATGAAGGACCAATTTTGAGGAAGACTTAGAGTTCTCAAAAATTCAGCAAGTATGTTCTTTAAGTTTTTAAAAATTTAACAAAGTCAACAAGTATGTCAACAAGTATTCAACAAGTTGGTTATAAACATTTGTTTATAACTTTACACATGGTTAATGCCTTCAGAGCAGTTAGTCAGCAGCAAGATTCTCATTTTTAAACCTTTACCCCTTTGTTCATTCTAAGGAAAGATGAAGAACATGTTGCTGTCAGAAAAATTGGTCCAGGAGTATGTGAGGAGCCATTAGGAAGGGAGAAATAGGGAAATGTGGACCCAAGCAGCGTAGGGTTTCCCAGAAAACTGGGTTAGACACAAGGGCGTACATGCAGGAAAAAGTAAAACCAAGAAGGTGTGTTAATCTAAACAATGCTGTGAGCAAATGAGACTCAGTTCTCAGGGGACACTCTGAGAAACTGCACAGAATACGCCTCAAAATTGCCCACCAGAAGGACAAATGAGAGGAGAGATGAACCATTGGCTCTCTTGTACCATGGGTCATGTTGGTCCAGAAGGTGTACACGACCTTGCACTTTAAAGATTGCACCTGCTGCAGAATGGCTGAGTAGTTTGCAGAAGACATCTTCAGAGATGACAACAGAGAAGCAAGAGATAAGTGCTGCACCTGATGCAAGGTGCTGGCAGTGACAGTATCACAACACTGGTGTCTGTAAAAATGTGGCCAAGAGGATATAAGCTATAGCACAAGAGTAGTTCAACATCAACTCTCGGAAGCACATGAGTCTGATGCAAATCTATTGTTCTTGAAATAATAAGGACAGGACCATATTCATCCCTTCTAGACCGCAGTCAGAGAAAGGGGCACCTGTAGAGAGAAAAGATCTGGTGAAACTAGTTGGGGAGTGGAAGAAGCCAGGTGATATGATTTGGCTGTGTCCCAACCCAAAATCTCATTTTGAATTGTAATTCCCATGTGTTGGGGGTGGTACCTGGTGGGAGGTAATTTAATCATGTGGGCGGTTCCCTCATGCTGCTCTTAGGATGGTGAATGAGTTCTCACAAGATCTGATGGTTTTATAAGGGGCTTTCCCCCTTTTTGCTCTTCACTTCTTGCTGCAGCCATGTGAAGAAGGACGTGTTTGCTTCCCCTTCTGTCAAGATCCTAAGTTTCCTGAGACCTACCCAGCCATGCTGAACTTAACTAAACCTCTTTACTTTATAAATTACTCATTCTGGGTTTGTCCTTATAGCAGAGTGAGAACAGACTAATATACCAGGGCACTGAAGAAGCCTAAGACCAGACTGCACCTCTCTGGGCTTTAAACATAGACCAACATCTGGATGAACGTTTTTCTTTTTCTTCTGTGCACATTTTTTGTATTTCGCTGCTATTTTAAATTGCCAGCTCTGACAGAACAATGCCATCTCCCAGACCCTTTTTATCTACACGTAAATTAAGTTACTTTATTGCTTTAGTTTCTCTGAGTTTTGTACATCTTGGGAAGAGCTCTCAGCTTCTCCTGCTTACAACCTTAGTTTAGGCTGCTCCAAAAGCCAATCCTGAGAAAAGGATGTAGATACAGGTATTTTCTTTTTTTAGAGACAGGAGTCTTGCTATGTTGCCCAGGCTGGGCTAGAACTCCTGGCTTCAAGCAATCCTCCCACCTTAACCTCCTGAGTGTCTGGGACCACAGATGCATGTCACCATGCCCCAGGTAGTTTGAGAGGTGATCCCAAGAAGTGTAGCAAGGTAGTGAAGTGTGTAGTAGAAAAGGGAATGAAACGTGTGTGCATGAGGTAGCAGGTTACTACCACCTCAGTCTTTCTGGGAGTGTGACCCACAGAGTGTTAGGGAAGCTGCGCTGTTTATGCACCAGCTCCAGTTTCTCATTGGTTGAACATTGCTGCTGCGGAAATTAAACCCATGGCACTTCTAGGCTGTCATGCATATAGGCAGAGCAAACTCCTCTAGTGCCAAGAAAGTCCCATAGGCAGAGAAGCAGGAAGAGAGGCATGGATAGTTGAGGTAGAGAGACATGGGTGTGTTGTACAGCTGCAGTGAATCCAGACATTTGGCTGAAGGATGTGTACAGCTGCAGTGAATCCAGACATTTGGCTGAAGGATGTAGATTGGGGCATCAATAGCTTCTACTTTACATTCTGAGATTATTTTGCAAAGGGAAAAATCCTGAAACACGGAGAAACAATAGCAACAGCCTTCTTCTGGCATCTAGAAGGAAAGAAGATAAGTTAATTAGTAAAGGGTTAGAGGCAATTAAAATGAATTCTGAAACTGAGACTATCTGTTGAACTTTGCAGACAAAAACTTTAAACTGAAATTGGGTCCCCTTAATGAAAATCCCCTTTGCTGCTTCTGAAGAATAAATGAGGAAAGAAACCCACATGTTTATTGCTTTCACCTATAAACCAAGAACCTCGCTGAACTATGTTAAATAGTAACTGGCTCTGTTTCTGTGAAGACCACATGGGGACTGATGGGTATCGTAAAATTTTCTCTTACTAGTTATCGCTCTGGTTCATTACCAACGTGGAGCCACTTAAAGATGAGTGCTTTCTGATAGAAAAGTTGGATGACAAGATATGAAAATAGGTCTTAAATGCAGTGGATTTCACCAGGGCAAGAAGTGTGGGCAGAGCAAAGAGAGGCTAGTAAGGAAATACTCTCAGTGGTATCATAGATTTTAAAAATTCACCCCAATTCTTCATTTTCTCTTAATTAAATGATAAATGCATACCTCTGCCTCATGGACTGAGTGGACTGCCCCACCCCTTCTAGATTTGGCTTTGTAACTTGCTTTGGAAAAGAAGTTGTTAGTAGACATGGCATAATCTGTATGTTGGCTTTTTTTCTTGGCAATTGTGGTCATCCATGAGACAAACACGTCCCAGGGGCTGCTATGTCTTCTCCTTCTGTCTAGGCCCTGGAAGGAAATGTAGAGTGAACTGAAACCCATCACAGCCAAGAGCTTCAGTCTTGGAACATAAATATGGAAATAAAGATGCCCAATCAAGCATATTGTAAATCAGTCAATAGCAGTCAACTCAGGAACCCAAGTATGAGAGTAGATGCTGATTATTGTAACCACTAAATTTGTGGGTGAATCTGTGAGGTAGCATTATAGCTGAAATAGTTGACTGATGTTAAGTGGTAGATTTTTTTTCTTGTCTGTAATTAGGGTGATAACCATAACAGGGGAATAAAGACTGTTGCTAAGATCAAGGATTTAACTGAGGAAACTAAAAAAACATGAAATGATTAGGAAAGAGCCAATGGGAAGAGCTCCCTGGAGGGAATCTGTAGAGAATTCTGGGTCAAGTGACTACTGCCCCAGAGACAAAATTCTGCCTACTCTCCAGTGATTGTGGATGATCTGAGCAGGTGAAGATGATAGAGCTCTCCAAAATAATGTTCGTCTGTATTTATTATTTTATGTTTTTTATAATTAAACATTACAGAATGTTTGCAAATACTTAACACTCGGGTTTCTAATAGGTGAGCTTTCCTGAGTATATGGGGGAGGTTCTCAAGTGAAAAGATATTTTGATACTATTTAAAATACCTAAACAAATCAGAGCTCCTTTATGCTGATGCATCGCTGAAGAAAAACTTATTCCAAATAGTTGTACTATGAAGATAATATGTATGTAACATTGTAGACCTTTTGGAGAGAGAAGGATATGACTTCAAATCTTTTCAAGTACAATAGAAAACTATTTAAATAATAAAGATTTAGGAGAGTCATATAAGTGCTTTTGAATGTTTGCTTATTGATTTTAAACATACTTTAAATTAGAAAATCAACATTATTATTATTTTTGAGACAGAGCCTTGCTCTGTCACCCAGGCTAGAGGGCAGTGGCATAATCTCGGCTCACTGCAACCTCCACCACCTGGATTCAAGCAATTTTTCTGCCTCAGCCTCCTGAGTAGCTGGGACTACAGGTGCCCACCACCATGCCCTGCTAACTTTTTTGTATTTTTAGTAGAGATGGGGTTTTGACATGTTGGTCAGGCTGGTCTCGAACTCCTGACCTCAGGTGATCTGCCTGCCTTGGCCTCCCAAAGTGCTAGGATTACAGGAGTGAGCCACTGTGCACAGCTTAGAAAATTAACATTATTGAAGAACTTGAGATGAAAGTCAAAGATCTAGGCTTTGCACCCCCATATTTCCTAATTTGATAGCAAGCCTTACTGGTTTGTGGGGAGGGATTTCTGTCAAAATTTTAATGAATAAATAATCCCTTTGACATTTATAATCCATTCCAGAACATTAAAAAGATGAAAACCTTCCTAAATAATTACATGAGGCTTGAAGAATGCTAATAACATGCCCAATAAAGATTGCAGCAGTAAAGAGAATAGACATCAAGTGCAATGCAAATAAAAATAATGAATAAAATATTTTCAAATTTACTGTAGCAACATCTTAAAGTATTAATAATGCATGGCAATCAAGGAAGGTTTATTTTAGAAATACAAGAATGTTGTAGTAATAGGAAATGCATGTATGCTTAAAGCGTTGTATTAAAAGAATAAATAAGCAAACCATATACAACCTCAACAGTTGTTGGAAAAGTATTCGACAGACTATATTAGCCACCCCTATCTAAAAAATTAAAAACTCTCAGGGAATTGGGTAAAAGAGGACATTTCCTAAATTTGACAGATTGTCTTCAGGAAAACTTTCAAATACCAATAATAAAATGTTAGACTTATTCCTATTAAAATCAGACACAAGGCAATAATGCCACAAAATCCTCATTATTCAAAATACTCCTGAGGGTCCTATAAAAAAGAGATAAAAACATTGATAAATACTAAAAAAAAATTCAATCCTTTC